TAGCTTCAGTTTCCTGTTATTAGCTGACAAGAGTGGCACATACTGTGGTTTTCTGCTGTTGCAGCCGATCTGCTTCAAGGTTTGTTTGGAGATGCTGTTCTTCATGACTCTTTTGTAACAAGTGGTTATTCAATTTAATGTTTCCTTCTACAACTGGAAGATTGACTGGTGATTGACTGATTTATGTCAACTAGCCTTTGCTATGCTAAAATGTAGCCTTTCTTACATTTTAGCATAAGAAGCTTCAAATTAAGTTTTTATTATGTTGACAGTTTACTTTATTTATATAGCAATTATCATGTTTAAACTTTCCTTTTAAGCTAATGTTAGCTTAAGCAGCTAATCAGCTATAATTGAAAAGATACTTCATCATGTGACTTTTTTTGTATTTATTTATTTTCAGTTATGCATTATGTTAGGTTTTTTGTTATATTTTTTATATAATAACAGTTTATATTCTTATTATTTTATTATCAGTTTTGTCAATAACGTTACAAGGAAAACAGGTTTGGTAGCTACTCTGCTGCTAGCTACATTTATTGCAAAGTTTCAGTTGTAAACCTATTGATACTGCTCAGCCTTAGCATAGTTGGGTGTTATCAAAAGTGTTGCAGAGTGTCTAAGAGCCCCAATATCTTTTAAAGATTGAAACTTATGATCACCTTTTAGATTAGATTAGCTTTTATTACCTGCAACCAGGGCTGCTATGGCGGAAAAAAAAATATAAGAATTTAAAAATTTGAAAACATTTTACAGGCCTTTCTAGAACCTAGATCTGGTTATAATAACCTTCTCTTTCTTTCTTTTCTTTTCTTTTCTCATCTTTTGCAGTCCTCCAGCTGTCAGCCAAACAGCAATGACTTTGCTAATTTCCTCCCAAAAAACAGGTGTTTATTTGCAGAGGCCTCACTTGTAAATGTAATGTCATCAACCATCAACAATTTCATCTTTTTTTATTCTAAGACTTTAAATGTGTACCTCAAAAGTGGATTATTTGAGGCTTCAGAGCTAGACCACGTCGACAAACAGCATGGTGGTTAACACTACATGAGTGAGCATTTTTAGGTGAAATGTCCTTTCTTTAGGAAAACTGGACCACAGTGAATTTACTTTATGGCTTAGAGTGTTTTGTTTAAATATAGATACTGCACAGCCCTACCATTTAACCCTGGCTATAAAATTACTACACAACTGTATTTGGTATCGTGTTTCCAAACAAAGTCAAAACAAAGCAAAAGGAATTTATTTGACTCTGGATTTTGGGCCTTTGCATAGTGCGCTGTAGAAAGTCATAGAAATAAACAAAGAACCTTTTTTTGTGTGTGTAAACGATAACTCTTACAGTAGCACATGAGAGCAGGGGCCCTGACGAAAGGCAAGGAAATAGCTGAAACTTATGATTCACTTCGCCCAGGCTGACGGCCAACCACGCACCATGCAAAAATAAACATAGGACTCCACAGCAGGTTCCCAGATAGTGTTTACTTTGGGGAAATGACAACTGGTTTTGAAACATCACTGCACTTAAGTTTGATTTATGAGAAGCTGGAGCAGATTCTGAATCAAACTCCTGAGACTGATATGCCTAGGTGTTGCATGTCATATAAAGACAGTGGCACTAAAGCACACCTGAAGGCTGCGAATGCTGTTGAATTACTACATTTCACCCTATCAGATGGAGACTAGCTTAAATCAAAGGATTCTGTATATCATGTAGCTTCCTCCATTTCCACAGGTTCACAGACACATTCAGAAATTTCAAATTCTCCTATAATTCAGTCCTGGACAAATATTAAATACATAAAGTAAAGAAGAAGTCACTTTAGTGTATCACAATAAAGATCTAAATGTTTTTAATCTCTGCACAACCATTTCCATGTCAGTTATGTGGCGTATGGCTGCTAATGATGGCTGTTTAAAAGTTGTTAGAGCAGTGATTCCCCAAGTGTGGTCTGTCGGCCCCTTGTGGGCGATAAAGGTACTGCACTTTAAAATGACAGATTATTGTTTTAATGGAGATTCCCAAATAAGCGAATTGATAAAAACACAAAGAAGAAAGTGCTTCATTTTCAGCTCAGAGGTGATCAGAGAAAGGTTTTGTTGGATACCATGAAGTTTTCAGACTTTAAAATGGGCCACAGTGACCGGTGGGCTTAATGCTGTTTCCTCCCCTTTAACAAAAAAACCCCAAACTTTACGAACGTACACCCAGTACACTTATTTGTGTGTCTTGTAGTAGTACACTTAAAGGTTTGATCATATAAAGTCTATCACCAGTTAGAATAATTTATCAGTCTCATGGTAATGGCCTGATAACGATATAGGAAAGACAACATGAAAAAGTTATATTTGTTTCGTATCCAGTTCGAGCTTCTGCCATACTGGAATGAGATGCCTGCTAAGGCTAAAGTTGTCCTTATTCCAGGCCATGGGATATCAAAAGCATGAGGACAACATGTGCAATCACTTTATACGTTATTTATAGGTTATATTGGCTGTAGTCTAATTTAAAGTCTGCAAGCTAAGAACCAGTTTTTCCAGTTTTTCTCCAGTTTTTCAGCATTGTGAGCTAAACAGAAACATCACATAAATCATTACCCTTATCAAAAGATGTTGTGTCTTGAGCTTAAACTTGTCTTGAACTTTTGTATATTTTGACATGAAAATGGGAAATAGTTTAAGTGATTTATTTAAACTTGTGCAAACCTACATGGGATAAAGCAAATAAGGCCAATTTATAGTAAGCTTGAAAGTCAATATTTGGTATGCTCCCTTTTATGGACACTCTCAGGTAGGCCTTCTTGGAATTTTGCTAGTTAGTCTTGAAGGCCTCTTGAAGAAGAAGCTTTTTTATGTCGACTGCTTTTTGTTCCGTTTTCTGTCAAGCTGATCCTACACTGCTTCAGGGATGTTGCGCTCTGGGCTCTGGGGACGCTGATCTATGACTGACAGTATTGCCACCAGCACGGCTTTTACTGCGAAAGTATGCTGATCAGATTATTCATAATTCCATTAAATTTGACAAGATCCTCCAACACCACTGTCTGAAATACAGACCCAACCCATGACAGAGGCTAGCTCACAGATGGCTTTAGACACTCCCCTGACCTGGACTGGACCTATGTCAGGGATTTGCTGTATTTCTCCCAATATTTCTCAAGGAAAGGACTTTTAGATGCTTTTCATCTGCTGTAGATAGCGTTTTTGAAGCCTACAACCTCCATTTGTCATATTTACTTAATTTTTCAAGGAGACACTGAACATGCTGAGATATCCTTAGAATACTTAAAGTTATCCTCAAGTTGTCTGTTGTGTGTAGACACATCACTGGTTCATCCCTTGAGTTATAGGTTCCCTTTTTGTGCTTGAATGATTTATAAATCATTTCTAAGTAACTTAAACATAATTCCCCTGAAAATGGTCAAATACAAAGACTGGACTGAAAAATGAGTGAACAAGCAGCCGGTGCCTTTCAGAAAGCCTAGAGACCTACAGCTCAAGACCGCTTTAAAAAATTACAAGAACGTCTGGGTCATAAAGAAATCAGGAGTAGCTCAAGGGTTTTGCACTTTATTTCTATATAACGTTTCATTTTCATACCATGTCTCTTCATAATTCAAGTAACTTGTGTCTGAAAATTTGAGCTTTAAAAATACTTAAGTTCTCTGCTGTAGTATGTGTTTTAAGCCACATGATGTCGCTGTATCCTTGCTATGTCTTGCTTTTGTGCTTGTGAGAATCAGTTTTATGGCTTTTCCCCTTTGACTAAGGAACAAAGATCCCACACATACATCAGAAAAATGTAACGAATGTCAACACAAGTGTATTTGTACAACATGTATGCATCCAGTTGTATTACATTATAATGTAGTGACACTGTAATACAGACACACTTGTCCTGCAGTTAAGACTGCATTCAGTTTAAGTTAATATCCATTTGTTTGATTCATTCTGGGCCAAGTTGGACAGCTTTAAGTCATTAATGTTACTGTGCCTGCAGCCTGTAGAAACAGACAGGTTATAGGTGACTTTTACGGTTAGCTTAGAAACGGCACAAAAGAAAGTTTCCACCGTGAGCTGTCCCAGAATGTAGCTGGCCAATGCAGACGAGCGCTGGGCGGGGATGGCTGCAGTGAGATGTAATTCATACAGCACTAAATCAGGTCACTGTCACTGAGAGCTCTGATCTTCTTGGCATGATAAAGCCCAAAGAAATCAAAAGTCATACATGTTTTCAACAGTAACAAGGGATTATATGCTCTAAGATGGAAATAGAGGGCTGAGAGACAATTCACCCTTATAAAATGGTGCCTGTGCGTGTTGATGCGGGTGTGTGTGTCTGTGAGTGTGTAAATATAAGCCAGGTTTCCAGTTCATCCACAACTACGCCCTGCATTTCTTTGTGTATTTCTCAGGGGTCTTCACTTTCTTTTCATTCTTTCTCTTCATTGTTCCCGTTTCCTCTCATTTCTTCCCATCCTGGCTGGCCGTCCTCAGGTGAAGCCTTCTCACATCACTCTAAAGCCATTGTGTCTGCTCTCAATACAACCACTGTGGAAAGAGACAGGTCAGATTCAAGTCTGAGGAAGCTATTGTGAGGACAAATATAGAAGTAAAGGCCAAATTTTCTGCTGGGCAGGACTGGCTTGTTTTTTATGTAACAATATTGAGTGAATGCAACTTTTTTCCCCCAACAACCTATTACATTTGTTCTCTTTTGAACGATTTTTCTGCCATATTCATCTTAGATATACTTATATTACCTGAAAAAAGCAGGTTAAACTATAAACTATACTGACAGTAGCAGTACAGTTTTTCCTCAAATGAAAGGACACATTGATTTAAACTCATGTGCACCTCTGTATTTTTTCAGTCCTCCACAAGGTGTCATATTGCATCCTCTCCTTTGTTGTTGTGGGATTGGTTACATGACTGGCTCCTCCCCAGCCAGGACAGCTGATCCTCTACAGCCGGACTCACCTGTGAAAGCTGCTCCAGCAACAACAATCACTCTCACCATCAGCGACAAGAAGAGACCAACTGAACAACTGAGCTCCAGGTAAATACTGTTTTTGTCCCTTTCCTCTGTTTCTGTTCATCAATTTACAGCTCAGAGTAGCTGAATAGGGAACACATTTTCTGGATGATGTAAAGCTCTCAGGGACTTGAAATTTACTAGAACGTCATTGCTGTTCTTCTTAAATAACTCTGTGACGAGGAAAGAGTGATGATGCTTGGTATCCAGCACTTGTATTTCAAACACAGTGTTTCTTTAGTAGAACAGAAACATGATTGGTAATATTTCCTGCTTGAATATTCAACAGAAACCTGGAAAAGGGAGACAAAAGATGACAAAAAATGTTACAGGGTGATCCAAGTGACTTTTTAAGTTTTTCAGGATCTCAAGAAAATCATTTATTGTTACATTTTTGGCAATCGTTTAGTAGAAAGTCATAAAACTCAGAGTTGTTTCAGATCTATCAAATCCAACAGGACAAATCAAATGGCTGATCTTGCTGGATTAATCATGTGACTTTAAGAACCAATAGGTGTGCACTGTCTGTTTTCCTAACCAATGTTGTCTATTCTGAAGTACTTTCTATTTTTTCCTTTTGGGTGATTTTGAGAACAAAATAAGACAGAAGTGGCCATGACAGCCTGTTCATGTATCAATCTACTAATATTTTTATTTTATTTTCTTGATGGGAAATCATCTCAAAAGGAAACTAGTTATAACCTCGTAAATAGTGACTCCATTCTTTGAACAATGCCTAATGACATACTACCTTAAGATATGACAGGGTGCCTTGACTTTTAGCCCTTTCAGAGTTTTCTGGTGTATGATAGGCATAAAAAGACCTCTAGGTGTGTTTTTGTCTTCCTTATTGATCCTTATTGACCCAAATGTATCTAACTATCTGTGTAGTGGACACCATGGCCTCTGCTCTCTCTGTGCGCTCAGTGCGGCAGCCCTCCTTCTCCAACATCTCTGTGAGGGGCAGTGGACGCAGCATCCGCTCCAAACCCTCTGTCTCCAATCTTTCCTCGATCGCCACTCTGTCGCGCTCCCTCTCTCTGGGCAATGGCCTCAACGTGCTGGGCTCCAGCCTCTCCAATGGCCTCAGCGTCAGCGAGAAGGAGACCATGCAGGGCCTGAACGACAGGCTGGCCAACTACCTGGACAAGGTGCGGTCACTGGAGAAATCCAATGCTGAGCTGGAGGTGAAGATCAAGCAGCTTATGCTGGACAGAGCTCCAAAAGGGTACGACATTGAGGGGATGATGGCACAGGCCCATGCCATTGGACAGGAGGTCAGTGTCTAGTGCTTTAGACTATACAATTCATTTTAAGACTTCCTGTCTTGAGAAAAAAATAATAATATTTGTGCGTGATGTTCTGTCATGAATTCTCAAATTTAAAGTACAGTTTTGGTGGAAGAACTCAACTTAACAAATTAATATTTAACTAGACACATTAAAACTACACGTAATTTTAACTTGCTGTGCATTGTGTTCTTTCACTTAGGTGAGAAAGAAGACACTGGAGAATGCCCGTATAATGCTGGAGATTGATAATGCCAAGCTGGCGGCTGATGACTTCAGGGTCAAGTGAGTGTCACACTGCAGTCTTCTCCCTGGCTGTGAGTGTTCACATGGGAGCGCCAGACTGCAAAACAGTATGAATAAATGACCTTTCTGTCAGGGGCCGAAATAAATGCCTTATTCCCACGGTGGGTGCTCCAGTACCAAACAATGGCAACATCAGTTAGAGGGGAATATGATAGATGGTGCAGGCCAGAAAGAGAATCGTCCCCTTACGGAGATTCTACAGTTGGTAAGGTGAAGCTAAAGGTGACAGAGTCAGGAAATACCTGCTGCTGGTGTTTTTCACAGTGTGTTGATAGTATGTTTTGTGGTCTAATGTGAGGGAGTAATATGTCAGCTGACAGTGATTCATGGTATTTACAGCAAAGTGAGTGTGGACCTTAATAACTTTGAGCTTTGCAGGAGTTTGAATGCGATTTTTCACATTTGTGCATCCATTCCTGAGTGGCCTCAGTGCCAAATTCACAGAAGAGTTACTAATTAGCTCCAGCTGCCTTTATCAGGTGCCTGTTAATCAAAGTGTCAACACCCCTAACACCAGTATCCACACGAAGGAGTTAACAGGCTGTAAATCTGCTATTTAATGATGTAAAGTTGGATATTTTAATGTAGAAGTTCATGGGAACTGATTTTCTTTAAGAGCTACTTGCCTCCTGAGGTACTTGAGGAAAAATGAAAATAGCGTGGAAGTGTCACTTCTGCTACTTGTTCAAAAGTCTTTTTCTTTATGCAGAAGCAGGAATATTTTTGGTCTATAGGTACAGAAAGATTGTATTAAATAATCTGCAGTATTTTCAGATCTCATGAAAATGAGTATTTTTCAATAATGTACACAAAAGGTACAAACCTGGCCTAAAATTGCACATGTTTACTGATGACCTCCTTTTCTCTTAACATGAACTTGTGAGAATTTACAGGGAATCGTGTTGGGATATTTTCCACATGTACAGACAGCAGGAAGTAGCCACTTCAGACACATTGACACAACTAGAAATGCTCTATGCACCATAGGTAACGTGGTTACTTGGATATAGTGTACAGGAAGAGCTGGCAGGTTAAAAGTAATTTCTGTGATTACTTTCTGCATTTACCCCCATTTCCTCATGAAATTTTAGCTTTTCCCAGAATGTTGTGGTAATGTATGTGTGCATTCTTACTGATTTGCCTGGCTGACTTGCCACAAAATTGTGGTACATATTTCTATATATGAAATCTCTTCAACACAACACATGGGTCTTTTGGAAATAAAGTCACAGCTGTTATTCTGTTGATTGCTCATATCCAACCTGACTACATCAAATATTTCTGTTCTCAAGTGCAGAGCTACAGCACAAGTGTGAAAGTTCATTTATTTGATTTAATCTTGTCTTTAATGCTGTTTTTTTTTTTTTAATGCAGATGGGAGGCAGAGGCCACCTTGTGCCAGTCAGTGGAGAGGGACTGTCAGGCTCTGAGGAGAGCAAAGTCAGACCACGACCAGATCATCGCCACTCTCCGAGGAGACCTGGACAGCCTGAAGGAGGAGCTCTACTTCCTCAAGAAGAATCACCAGGAGGTGAGACTGCTGCCAAAACGAAGGTTACAAGAGCTTAAACAGTGTTTACATATCCATTATTATTATCTTCTTCACAAGACACAAGTTCATATAAACTAGTTCTCTGCCAGGTCAGTTTGTGTTTTCTCCCACAAGGTTTAAACAGTGTCCGGTGTCTGAAATACGATAATATAAGTACAGGGACACACCCTTCATCTTTGTAACCAGACTGCTTCAAGATAACGAGGTAACTCCAATGTACACAAAGCAGGAGTGTTTGAGCCCAGTCATCGCAACAGTCTGTGTGTGTTTAGGCAGTCAGGTGTGGTGTCCAGGATGTAGACTGAATTTTACACAGAGGGAATTTTTTATTTTGTCTTAAAAATGTATAAAATTTGACTGACTGTAATTAGAGTGTTATCATAACTGTACAGCGCAGCTTTTTTATTTTGTTATTTTTCAACACATCTAATTTTTCTTAAATCGAGAATTAAAAAACAAAAAAAAATTTCATAATTGTTGCAGCCAGTAAGAACTACAAAACCCAAGAGGTGTTGATGCAGCTACCATATAAATGTCTCAGAAATTAATTTGTAGCAAAAGTGAAGTAGATGAAGCCTTCTGACACACAACCTGTGGTTGCACTCTTTTAGGCAGCTACAGTGATCACTCATTTAAACTTTAATTATCTTGTGAGCTTTATGAACAATACAGTAATAACTTTTAATTCACGGTGGGATTCTTTCTTTAAAAAACCTTATTATATTTGGCTAGTCCCCTGAAGATTATCACTTGGCGCTGGCTTTTTCTTGAGGCTTCATATGTTGTGAATAAAAACTTTACAACTACTGTAAAGATTTAAAGGAAGCGAACAATGGTAGCGTAAAATAGTTATCAAAGAGCTGTGAAGTTTCTGTGATATGAAAGCTGAGCTGATTTTGTGGGATTACTCCTGCACATGTAGCTGATGTTATTATGGGTGTCAAGGTAGGAAGGCGAGAATTAAAATTCCAGAACAACTTTATTGCACAGCTCTTAACTAAACAAAGAGCAGCAGGTCAGGTGCTGAAAGTACAACTCATCTGGGGAAATGCACGAGGAAGGACACAGCCATGAGAGAGAATGTGATAAAGGGCAAGGGATGAATGAGACAACACATATATATGCAGAGGATAACGAGGAACAAGCAACAGGTGTGAGAACAGCTGCAACTAATTACAGGTGACAGGCAAATAGAACTGAATACACGACAAACCACCAAAATGAAACAGGAAGAAACGGAACACGGAAAGAGAAACTCAGACATGACACAAAGACAGAAAGATAAACAAGCACCAAAACAAGACTGACTTCACAAGAAGTCACAGGGAACACAGGGGAGACGTGTAAAGCTAATTTAACAAAGTACATTAGAGTTTTGATCGACTCTAACCTACATCTGCTGTAACAATAGGTTAGCTCATTGAAAACAAACAGCCAATTAGGCAACATGGATGATGTTAAAGCAGGTTTACCAGCTCTCGCGCTGATGGCATGACTTTCACCTTCAGTCTCACGCTGCTGAAACAGTCTCACACCAGTTAAAAGGAAGCCTCAAAGCTCCTCCTTTATTAAAACAAACAAACAAAACAAGCAGACAACAGGTTTTTTCCATCTGAACATCAGACCTTTTTCTAAATTTCAGCTCTGGTCCCTGAACATCTCAGTTTACAAGCTTAATCCACCAGAGGCATTTAATGGTTTTCATTTAATATAGCAGCTCTTTTATAGCACACAACTTATTTTTGTTTGCTCAATGTCTGTATCAAAAGGCAGTACTAAGTGTAGTAAAACCACTTGAAGTTGAAGTTGGTGGATTAATAGGTGGACATCAAAATATTTCTGTTATAACCATGATTTACATTACAGTGCATCTACAGTAAGATGCTGCTTTTTCCCTCCATTCCTTCTTTAAATGTCTGCAGGAAATGAACTCCCTGAAGGCCCGTTTGGACAATGAGCAGGTGAACGTGGAGGTGGATGCGGCTCAAAGTCCTGATCTTGGGGCCATCTTGGCTGAACTCAGGGTCCAATATGAGGGCATTGTTCGCAAGAACAAGGAGGAGGCCGAGTCTTGGTACCTGAAGAAGGTGTGTAACTGCACAAACCAGCTCTTGTTCTTCTGTCTTTTCCCCACAGTAAATAAATATGTAGGACTGCTTTCTTTCATCTCCGCAATATTGTAAAAAATTACAATTTATCCTATCCTAACAAACTAGATGCATTGGTTACAGCTAGTCGGGACTATTGTCATTCCTTTTTATCAGCATGTCCCAAAAACTCCCTGAAAAGCTGTCAGTTGGTCCAAATGAGTAGAGAAAGAGAGAAAGCGAGGGATCATATTTGTCCCTTGTTTGTTCACTGGCTTCCTGTTAAGCTCATCATTTAATTTAAAATCCTCCTTCTTGCATAGAAAGTCTTGAAGGGTCAGTCCACATAACATCTTAAAGACCTTAATGCATTATATTATCCCATCAGAGCACTTCACTCTCAGACTGCAGGCCTACGTCTGGTTCCCAGAGTTTCTCAAAATAGAACTGGAAGCAAAGCCTTCAGCTACCAGAACCACCTCCCTAACTAGGTTCAATGATATACTAATTAGGCTTCAAACTTTCACTTTTGGCTTATAGTTAGCGCTGCATCAGGTTGACCTGAAACATTGCTTAGTTAACCAGCTTAGGCAGCTAGAAAGTAATCAAGTACTTCACCTCTTGTTACTCATCGAGCATTTTTATGCTACTACATTAATTTTCTTTTCCCTTCCCTTCTCTGTCATCACCAAATCAGTTTTAGCAGATAACTGCTCCGCCCTGATCTTGGTTCTGGTTTCTTCCTGTTAAAGCACGTTCGTCCTCTTCAAGGTCTCCAAGTCATAAGGGATTGCCTGATTTTGGGGGTTCTCTACCTAATGTTGTCGGGTCTTTACTTTACAGTATGAAGCACCCTGAGTTGAGTGCTGTGTTGAATTGTTTTGAATGTTATGTTTTTATGTGTTTACAGTTAGAGGCAGTACAGTCGGAGGTCAAAGAAAGCAACGAGGCTTTGCGTTGTGCCCAAAGTGAGCTCAGTGAGAGGCGGCGTTTCCTTCAGGCTCTAGAAGTTGAGCTTGAGAGCGTTCGTAAACAGGTACAGTACAGTTTGTTCATATACATTTGAATGACTACTTATCTTCTTCAGCGGTGAGGTTTCCGTGAGACGGAGACATTAGAAACCCTGTATGAGGGCACATGAATGACTGGTCCTCACCCCATCCTCACATCCTCCCCCGCACACTTGTCGAGACTAGCTATAGGTAACAGCTGCCTTCTTTATGTCAGTTAAGAGCTGCTGCTGTATAGATACAATGTACACAGCAGGTTAATAATGCTTCCACAATCAATCAGTGTGACAAGACACAAAAACCTGGTGTTTTGTCTCCACTTCCTGTGAACTCAGAAATGATGTACAGCATGCAGACATGTTCACTGGAGGCAAATGTAGCTTTCAGATATCTGCTCAGCCTGATCGCACAGTAATGAATGCAGACGTATTATAGTGCTGACAGGAAAACTTCTTAATAGGTAAAATTACAAAGCAGCAGTTTTTGACTGATTTTCTGACAGTGGTGACACTCTTTATGGTCCGTGTGAACAGTGAGTTAATATGGAGGCTTTGCCGTTTTATCCTCACTGTGTTTACCTCCATCCTCAAAGTTTCTACTGTTGCATGAAGACCATACAGCCCGTTAGAGCAGGAGTATCAGACTATAAATTTACAACTTAATATTTTTTTAGCCATTCCCAAAATTAAGACTGCTATACTACTTTTTGAAATGTGAAAAGCTTTAACAAAGCCAAACCTTTAACACAGCTTTGATCCTTCTTTATGTTTTAATTGATTCATTTTAGTATCCTAAAGATTTACTTCCTGGTGCTGAGCATCCTTTACAGTAACAACTTCATTTCAGCTTCTTATAGCCAGTGCCTCATTTTAGCTATTTGCACTACTGATGAGATTTAGCAGTTAAAGATTTAAAGAAAGTCAGAAAATCAAGAATAACGTGTCATTTTAAAATTTTCTGACTGTCGGAAATCACTGTGTACACAATCGATGACAATTTAAATGCCATTAAGAGCAACAAAAAAAATGTTCATGCAGTTTTAAATATTTAAATGGCTGTTTTGTTATTTTGTTATTTATGATTGCTCTGTAATTAATTCCCCAAAAGGCAAGTCTATTCTACTTTCACCCTAAACCAGCACCCTTATTATTGATGCTTCATCTTTAGCACACAGACATTAGAGCATTAATTATTTCACTTTAATGAAAAATATATATATTTTAATATCAGAGTGGGCAGTCCCATCTTAAGTAAGCAAAGGACGACATTTTAGACAACTAACTCAAAATTTGATTATTGTTCCCAAAGACATTATGTGTTTTTAACCATGCATGCTCAGACTGTTATCTGTGCTTCTCAGGATAAAGCTGTTCCTTAAACGCAGTTCTTGATGACATATAGCGAAGGAGGCGACCTGTCTGAATATTCAAGCCAGCTTTAGTAATTATGTAACACAGAGGAGAATAAGTTATCTGTTGTGGCTATTCAGCATCAGTATGCTGTGTTTACAGGTTAGCGTGTTAGAGGGAAATCTCGGAGAATCGGGACACAAGTACTCTGTGGACATGGACCGTCTTCAGGCCATTCTGACACAGCTGGAGGATGAGCTGTCTCAGCTGCGTTTGGACATGCAGCGCAACAAGACTGACTACGAACAGCTACTACGCATCAAGCAGAACCTGGAGATGGAGATCGCCACCTACAGGAGGCTGCTGGAAGGAGAGGACGTGTAAGCAAGTAGAAAAACAAATCTAAGCCTAAGGGATGCACAGTCCCAAAATAACAACAGTCACAGGACCAGTTCCTTTTCAAATGCATATTTTTTTACTTGAATATTATCCAAAAAACAAATGACTCTTGTAGTTATTCATACTTTCTACAAGAAGGAGGCATTTGTACATTTATTAGTCTTTGAATTAAAGGACTTGCTCTCCATTTTGGGACATATGTGCATTTTGTTTTTAGCAGAAATAAGATTATCTTGTCTGTTCAGTAAATTTACCACAGTTTGTTTTAGATGAGCATAAATTAGAAACAGGGGTCGCATTTACACGGAAAAATCAGCCTACCAGGAATCTCAAGTTTATTAACACCTTATATTTTATTTGGTTATTTACTTTTGCACATACGTTTGTATAGACTAAACTTTGGACAGAGTTAAAAAATTGTGCTTTCTAGTTAGTATTTTTATTTCATATTTGAGTTTTTGTTTTTAAACTAGTTTCTTCTTAGTTTGTTTTCAGAGTTGATTTACTTATTTTCAGTTTAGTTTTCAGAATTTGAAAATGTTTAGTTTTTGTTTAGTTGTTATTAGTTTCATTGTTTTGTTTTAGTCTTTTTAATTACTGTATGGAGGACATGTCTCTGAGACCAAATTTAGAAAAATCAGTGCAGGTAATTTAATAAAAACATAACTTTTTAAAAGCAACTGACCGATGGTCAGACTCTCAATAAAAATGTGCATCAATGCCTCATCAAGCAAGGTGTAATAACATTTTTACTACACTAAGCATAAATGTTTCAGTTAGTTAAAACATTTTTAATCATTAACTAAAATGTTTTTACTTTTAGTTTGTACTTTAGTTTTAATAAACAAGCTTAATGACCTTAAATGGTATGAATATTAGTGACAAGGTGTAATAAATGATACCCATAACTACAGTGAAAAAAAGAATAAATATAAAATACAATAAATAATTAGACAAAAGAAAACATGAGAACAAAGTGTTTTTTCCCACAATGCAGAACTGTATTTGCTTGAACCTGCTTTCTGCTTTGCCTTCACTGATTATAATTTTGTCCTACAGGGTGAAAGAAACTCCCCCTCCACCTCTTAAAAGTAAGTTCAGATTATTAAATTTAACAAATCTGTTGCAAATCTGAGCGTGTCATCTGTAAGTTTAGGTTGGATAATGCTAGTCTGGGAGAAGCACTTGAAATCCAACAAGTTTTCCGAGCCAGAGTTGACATGCTTTAAAACTGCTGAATTTAAACCAGAGATATAAAGGCTGTCGATGGTTTGTGTTAAATTCTTTCATAACAGAAGTTATTTGCTAGTAGAGCAAAAGAAACCGTTAGAAATACAATATTGTGGGTATCATACTACAGGCGGATGGCACCAATAAGTTACTAGAAGTACCTTAATCTTACAGTTATGGTTTTTATAATTATAGTTTTTGCAGTTAGAGGTGTGCTAAGGTCTGCTTGGGTCGGGAGGATGTCACTTGTCACGAGACAGTGATCGTGACACTCGTTGCAGATGTCCACTTGTCAGCCATTTAATACAACGCACCAACTAAAAATGTGATCTACAAGAGAACTCTAGAGAACTTTACAAGAGAATAGAATAGATATTTATCCACGGTGTCTGGTGCTGTCTGTGCTCCAAACATTTGAGAATTTATGCGACTTGGGACAGAGTGACATAAATTCAAGGCTCGATGCAGATGTTCGTGTTTCTGAAAATGTTTTGTGACTCACTGCGGCACACTGTCACACTACAATCCACCAATCGCAATGCATTTTAAGGCCAACTTAACTGGATATTATCGCTTGCAGAGGTGGGACGTCTTGTCACTATTATGGAGTCCCTCTGAGCAACACACTCTTATTTGGTAAAATTTTAGTAAAGCTTTGCTTGGACAAATAATTAGAGTTCGGAGCTTCGTTTTCACCTCATTGATGATGAAATGTACATCACTCAAATGCAACCAATGTAAAAAAGGAAGGCATACTCACCAGCAGTTTCTGCAGCTCTCGTGCGTGTGCTTATCCTCAAGCAGGCATGATCGAGGCCACAGAATCTATTTTTACACACTTGAATACAGGTGTGCCTCGAAACTTTGGTGCGCTCTGGGCAAAAAAAAGTTTGAAAACCATTGTTGAATGGTATCCAGTGTCATACCAGAGGCCAGAATTCATCACTACTGCAAGAGGGTCCCATGTTTCAGTACAGGCTTCTATAGGAAGTCAGTATAAAAAGAACTTGAGTGCTGTTGTCCTTTATGTCTGTTACAGTCTGCTCTTGTAAAGCTGGGTAATTTTAGTCATCTTAAATTCTTCCAGTAGGCCAACAATGCAGGAAAATCTGATCCTTTCCTTTGCTATTCAAACTCTTTTGTGAACATGTGTTCACTTGATACTCACACGGGATCATAAAAAAATCAAAATAGCACATGACTCACTCGGGGAAAGTAGGAATCCCTTTTCTCGGGGTCAGTGTGGCTTCGTAGCCTCAATATAAACTTCTTATCTGAGTATAGCACTGTTGTTACACTGTTAATGACACTTTCTGTGGCTTTAGATTAGCAGCATTAGTGTGACTAACCATTGTTCGCTCCTGTGTTACAGAAGACCCCGATGTAAGGACTAGGAAGATTGTGAAAGTCGTCACTCAAACAATGATCAATGGCAAAGTAGTCGATGAGTCCAGCGAGGTGGAGGAGATCGAGGAGCGCAAAAAATGAACCAAAGTGCATCAGTACGGAAGCAATGTTTCATAAAGCATTAGCTGACTGTGGATCAAATTATTGTTTTCTTTATTTACTTTATTTAATCACAGCTAATATTAGCCCTGTGAGGTTTAAATAATGGCTCCAGCTGTGACCATACACCTGTATTTTGGAGATATATAAAAAGATCTTCTTTCCTATATAATAGTCTTACATAAATAGTTTATACACATCACTTAAAATTACTTTTTTGTTCCCACGATTGCAAAGAATATGAAAAAAGAAGCAAAAAATGGCATATTCTTCTACCGTAGGGTTAGGGTTGTGGTGATCAGCAGTGATGAATAAGACATCACAAGATTATCACACGTTATTGTCAGTGTATTGGAACAAGGCTGACCAGATTCTTCTTCTTCAATACTAAAATAAGTCTGACTAAAGATTTATAATTGCTTCCACACTTCTGAGGGTTACAGTCAGTTTAGAAAACGATGCACTGTGATGGTCTTTGTTGTGCTTTTCAGTCTTTAAATCAAATCCATGAAGTTTAATTTTCTTAAAATGTCTTTGAAAAGGTCAACCCATTTTTAATGCAACTTCTCGTCACTATTTTCTAAAATAAAATGGAATTACTAATATATCCTAGTTCTGCAGCATGAAAGATTTTCACATATTTTTAGAAATTATTAATTAAGACCCAGTTATGCAAATAATATACATAAAATGTTCTTTTTCCAGTATCATCACAGGTGGCAAAAGTATTCTTTATGTAAATAGAAGTACAGAAACCTGTGTTTAAAAAGTACTCCGGTAAAAGTACAGGCTCTGAGATGTACTAAAAGTACTTTTAGAGGATATTTCTACCAGCGATTTTTGTGCAAAGCTAACTGAAGCTTGTAGTAATAATAATAATCATCATCATCATCATAAAATTATGTTAGTATGTGAGACTACAAACAAAATTCCAATCTGTATTCCAATTCTAATGAATGTAGTCAGCTTGAATCTGTTATGTAGGACACATCATCATCTGCCTAAAATCAAATTTGCTACACTGGATGTAACCCAATTTGACCATGAACACAACAGTCCAACACTGGTCCAACACACTGCCTCACTGTAAATCCATCAGCGTAACACTGAAAAATCTGAATTAGTTAGTTTACCTCAGTGTGTTTCGCAGGATGTTTCAAAAAATATGAAAGTGTATAATTTATCAGAACACATCATAAACAGACCCACTGTTTGATTAAAAAATGATAGTATAAAACATGATAGTAACAGTTTACAATTTTCAAATATCACTGAGCAGTCCTTACCTTTAAATATAACCCCTGTTCTTCCTCTTCTGTCCTGTCTTTCTTACGTCGTTCTCCATCTCTGGGCAGCTTTAGCTAGCACACACACTGCCCGCAAACAGTTGTTGTGTTGATATTTGTTGAGCTGTTAGAAAATTTTCTTTTGAAATTATCTGCCACAGCATGTTATTCCCGTTATGCTGTCATAGATGACTTTGCTCAAATTGCATTAAAATGAAACATCCAGGAAAAACATAATCATGTATTTTTGCGGTTTCCAATATTTTAAAGGTTTAATATATGTGAAAAGTGAAAATGAAAGTATTTCCTAAACGTTAAATCCTTTCTTTTGATCATCACTGGAGGCTAAATGTGTTTAAATATTTGTCTTAACTGTGCCAATAATGTCATTCATAAAGTGACTGTACCAACTCTGTTATTGTGTGATAGTTTCACTGTGAAAAACTACTGAAAGTATTGTTATGTACTTTTAATATCCAAATAAACATTTTAACCAAAGCGGCTTTACAGTGCCAATAAAACTCAGTGATTAAAATGTGTTTTGTGTTCTGGGTTTGTTTCAAACAGAAACCTTGACTCATACTCAGAGAACAAAAACGAAATGTGATTCTGCACCTACAGAGCAGAAACTACCAAACCTGAATCCAGCAGTGTCGGGTAACAACCTTTGTGTGTGTGTTTCTGTGAGTTTGTGTCCACATTAAAGTGAAAATTTACAAAAAAGATGGCAGAGCAAGCTCCTGCAGTGTTTAATGTGGTCTGCTGTGGTGGTGTATGAAAAAGTCAGATGTCAATGCAGAAACAAAGAGTCTACAGTCAAAGTGCAACAGGTGGAACAGGTAAGAATCGTATCAGAGTTTGTTTTGGGCTTTTTTGCTGTATGTGCGACTCAAGTAAAAGATACTTGGGTGTCTACCCAGAGGATTCGTCTTTGTTTTTGTGTGGGTTTTTTTTACTGGGAAATGTTCCTCTTTTTGTTTCCTTGTGAAAACAAAGTGCTCCGTGTGCATTTGGGGATTTCAGCCACTTTGAGTTTTTGTTGTCTGGTCGCTGAAGGATTTTATCTTTCTTAGAGGTGTTTTTGTGTTGAGGGAGCATAATATGGGAACACTGAGGACCAGGCAGTTGGGACACAAAGTAATGAATAGTCAGGATTGCTGGCAGGTGTGCAGCAGGGGTGTTTCCAGGCTTGTTATAAAAGGCTGGCGTGGGGGACATTGAGGAAACTGTTAAAACCAAATAAAATCAGTTCAGTGAGTTGTATTTGCACACACCACCTGCTGCCATAAACGTGCATTAAGATTAACATGGCACCTAAACCGAAGCACAACATTTAATGGAGACCTATCAAAGCTAAAATGCAGCCTGGTTAGAACAGTAAATGTGATTAACTTATTCTGATGTTAGAGGCGATCGTGGCTCAAGAGTTGAGAGTTCGCCCTGTAATCGGAAGGTTGCCGGTTCAAGCCCCGGCTTGGACAGTCTCAGTCGTTGTGTCCTTCACCCGTTGCCTACTGGTGGTGGTCAGAGGGCCCAGTTGCGCCAGTGTCCGGCAGCCTTGCCTCTGTCAGTGTGCCCCAGGGTGGCTGTGGCTACAATGTAGCTTGCCGTCACCAGTGTGAGTGGGTGGATGACTGGTTGTGTAAAGCACTTTGGGGTCCTTAGGGACTAGTAAAGGCTTTACTAGTCAGGCCGCTTAACTTACTGAGTGTTAATAATGTCTTACCGTTTGCAAAGTAAAGGAGGGGAGGAGGAGTAGGCTGTGGACCAAACCATGAGGCAGAGCCCACTTTAAAAAAAATGAATTTGTTTGAACAGTTTGAATAATTAACCAATAGTATTCAGCTCATTCAGTGTTATTGTATACATTTACAACCATTCACTGAGGAGAACAATCATTTTTTTTGATGGGGAACCTTTTGATCTCACCCATAATTTCCACTTGCCTCCACTCACATGTCAACACATTTTTGCCTGGAGGCTGCTCCCTTCTGTACCTGGTTTGTTCGGTGTAACCATTTCTGTTTTCATTTTGTATTTTTGCAGTCTAGCTGAGCATTTCTTGGACATAAAAACTCAAATTCAAACTGCTTAAATAGCTCTGTTATGACCAAGAACTCTGGGGACTGAGTTGGCTTCCCACAGGGGCAGTGTCTGTCTTCTTGTCTTGTAAATAGTGAGTTATTTAACCCACATTGACTGTTGTGGCTCAGTGTGTGGTGTGGGTTTTGTGTGGGTAGAGGTGATGTGTTAAATGGGATTCAGTCCAGAACATTGAAGCAGCCCCCTTAAAGCTCCCCAGACTGAAAAAAACTTTTAATTAAAACCTGCTGTGACACCTCTGCTCTATGTTCTACATATGGACTGTCCTCAGTTTTCCCTTATTTTTAATGACATGTTTTGGATGGACCAGTGTTCTTTTGTTAAACTGTAGAGATTTCTTCTGTCCTTTAGATGATTATTCACAGCTGCTCTATGACAGAGGGGGTTCTAGGATTCCAGTCAAAGAAAATAAACCACCAGCTCTCCTATAAAAACCACTGGATGTGATTGTTGCAGTGTGTTTGGCATCCTCATCTAATTCCTCTCCTGTCAAGCTTCTGGAGAGCAGGAGTCAACTTTTAATTCAGTGTTGGGAGCATTCTTATTCACCCAGGCATCGCCCATAAAACCCTCACACAGCCTTGACAGTCCTGTGGTCTTGTAGAGACACAACACTGAACTTCACCTGATCTAAATACATTCTCTGTTTTCTTCTCTCCACACTGTCTGGGCATGACAGATAATCTTTACCAAGTCATAAGCAATTTAACTTGTTTTCAATGTAAGGCTATGTAAATAGTTAGTTAAACTGAGTGTCATTGATAATATGGCTGCCATTTTACTTCCTAACCCAGTGATAGAGTAAGCAGGTTAATATCACTCAACTAACTAAACAAATCCTTACTTACAATATAATTAGAGGACTTAGTGAATATGAATAGGTTATGTATTTCAAAGTATGGATAAACCATAAAAGATTGTATAATGCAAAAGTAGTTCTAAGTAAATTAATAAAACTAAATAGTTACATAAATGTGGCAATATTTTTATAAGTTTAAATACATATAATAACAATTAGCTATCTGGAATAAATATCTGTGTAAGTAAATATAGTTATAAAGTTATAAGTATTTAATAAAAGAGCTAAAGAGTCATAATATGTTGTGTATATTGCTGAAAAAGCTGAAGATAATGGACAAATGTTAAAACATATAACTATATACTATGATATACTATGAATAAAGTAACTGAGACCAAACTGAGCTAAACACTGACAGTGTGACTGGATGAAAAACATCCTCTACATGAAAATAAAACATCAGAATAAGAGTTGTGTTTATGATGAATCAGTCTGACAGGCCTGTGGAGATGTCAGCTACTGTCCTGAAGTCTGCTGCAGCTGTTTGAATGTCTGTTCAGCAGCCCTGTGACACTCATGCTCCCTCTCACATCGTCATGAAGTCTCACAGTCTAATGTCTTCCTTGTTCAGGCAGCTTGTCACCACATGGAGCCACACTGCATAACACACAACCTACTGTAAGTTCAAACTATAGAAAGCTATGATATTTACTAGTTTCTATAATTATAATACAGTTGACTCTAACTAGAAATTATATAAATACTCGTGCCTTATATTAAGGTTGTTTATATTCATCTGTTTATATTGTATGTTTTAAATCATGGAAGAACATTCAGTTCATTCTGTGAATACCTGAGGCGGTAATCCAGAAATTGAGACAAACTCCAGCTCACATTTAGTGCAGTTTCATGTCAGTGTGAATTTTCTGTATGTTATCACTCCTGTGAGAAAGCACACATCGGCAGAATCTGCTGCCTTAAAGCGAAGCCTGTAAAGCATGCTGGTATTTTGTCACCTTGATGAGAAACTAGTGAACTCCAGACATAGACCTTTAAGCGTTTAATAACTTTTAGTTCATCCAATCAGGATACACAGAAGAATTACAGGGTCACAGAAGAGACAACACAAAGATAAAACTGTCAACACCCAGTTTTTCTAATGAGGGGAAAGATAATAGAGAGGATGGAAACACCTCGCTGTTTGTTTCACTTTCTTTTCTTTTCTTTTCTTCTCTTTCTTTTCTTTTCTGTAAGATTGAAAATCATCACATGTTTGGAAACTGAAAACCGGAGGGCCCATATCTTGTAGGCATATAGAAGAATTGGATTGGTAATTGTACTTCCTTGAATGATGTTGCTGTTGAAGAGCGCCCTCCTGTGGTGAAAAGTAGAGTGTACATGCAATTGAAAAGCAGAAAACACAGAAGCCATTTAGTTCATTATTACACTATAACTATTATTGTGTTGATTTGTATGGGAAATTGCAACCCAGTTTTTCCATATTTAATATAGAAACAATTTGCATTGTGCCACAATATGGCACATTAACACAAATACTGTGTCGGGAAAATAATGAATAAATAGCTAAGAAATATGTATTACAGTGAGCTTTATTTATGGTTATCTGTGATTTAAGTGATTAAAATCAGTCCATAGTCAACATCTTAGTTGATGTTATCCGTGGTGGACTGGCTTTATACAGGAATAAATAATGTATGACTTTTAAATTTACCTTTTATTTTGTTCAATCTATTGGGGAATTTAAAGGGGCGTTTTGACACATAAATGTGTGTTTGTGGCATAATGAGACCTGTAGGCACTGACCCAAACTGAAATCTGGTGACATCCTGACATAGAAATGCTTCGTCACCAAGAAGAAAGGAAGGACTCGTGGACCATTGTACTGCAGAAACGAGTTCCTTACCAGACCAAAAACATTTATTCTAGCGCCTCTGATGGCCTATGTTTGGTATTAACATTGCCATCCACACAACCACAGAAAAAAACGTTGGCCAGCGTCCATTAAATATTTGTGTCCATGGGTCTATAACTTCAGTGGAGGCCTTTCCAGGATTTACAAAGAGCTTGTTGGGGTCCCAGAAATATTTTAGGTTTTCTAATTTTTTTTAGGCAAATACTATCCAGATATTTTTTTTCAAAGGCTGATCCTAGCTTTACTGGTCATATGCCTCAGAGCGCATGCGTGACGGTTTCACCTTTTGGTGACCTGTTAATGCATCCTGAATAAACAATCTTGGACACTACAGCCGCGCAACACTAAAACTTAATTACATCATGTAAGTTTGCTGTTACTGAAACACACAGTGCTCTTATTTACATTTTTTTCAGCTTTCCATATTTAAAGCTTTAAATTTAGAGTAAAAATGTGTATAAAAAAAAAAAGTCTTACCTTACCTAGCTATAGTACGACACTTGCTAGCTAAGCAAGCTAATAAACTTGAAAGATTTCCACGTGAAAGTTATTTTTATCCGTTTACATAAATATATTTGTTTATAGCACGAGACATTAAGTTAGTTGGTGTGATGTAAGATACCGAGGTACAGACATGTAACTCCGCTTCTTTGTGTGCACAGGCCAGAAAAGGACAACTCTGCCCAGACTGAAGTCTTCCCTGCTATCAGATTTAAAGCTCTTGACTATGTTTTTGAGGTGAGCTTGTTCATTTTACCCGGAGTATTTCTCTAAAAGCTTGTTGTTCTGATTCTTTGTGTGTGTATTTCAGGCCAGCACCAGTCTGAAAGTCATGATGAACCTGCTGGCTCTGCCAACACCTTACCTGACAGGTGCCAGTGACCTGTATCCACATAGTGGAAAGCTGCTTGAAGACACCTACAGGAAACCGTGGGTCAGAGGTATTAAAACAACAACTTAAGTTTGTAGAGCGGGGATGTAAGTGGACCAGACTAGTGAAAATCTCATTTCTGTTAGTGCAAAGAAGTTTGACTGCATATTTAATCCTAATATAAGAAAAAGATGTGCAACTTCAATAGTACATTTCAGTTTTTATATATGATAAAGAAATGCTGCCATAGTTAATGAAATAAATCTGTCAGCATGACTCTTTGGGCTTTGTAATAAATCAAACTGTAAAATTACTAAAGTAATTTTGAAAGTACTTAAGCAATCATAAAAAACCAGTAATAGTGTGTTGATGATACAGGTAATCTTCACATGCCTGCCATATGAGTTAATTTGTTTATATATTTATTCCCTTGACAGGACAGGTGATCTCCACTTGCAGACTTAATGTCGGTGGCTCTGTCCTTGATAATCTGAGAGAAAAAAATCCACCAGTAAATTCAACAGAAAGGTTCTCCTGTTTAAAAACACAATCCATTCACTGAATTTTGTATTTGTGGAGAGATATCATAAATACTAGTTACTTTTCAGATTTGATGTGAAAGATGAGGTGGAGGTGATACCCAGCTCTAATCCTGACTCACTTCAGGATTTAGATGAAGATTTGTATGGTTCCCTTTTAAAAGACTCACAGACTGACGGTCCATGTCAGGAATCGTTTTTTAAGCAGACACCTGACGAGATCACGGATAAGAGTGAAGGTGAACCATTTCTGTATACTACAATAAAGTTGTAATTCTAATCTTCTTAAGGAAATCAGTTGTGGTTAGTAAAACATGTTTGTGTTCTGTGAAAGACCTCTTCTTGCCAGAAGAGCTCATTCCAGTCGATCACCTGGCAGAGTTTAAGAGACATTTGCCTACACTGAGAGTCAAGTTGTCCAGATTGAGGATGCTTCCTGTAGCTGACCCGCTGCTGAGCTCATCAGGAAATCCCATCTCAGAAGACAACATGTTCAGGTGCATTTTAAAACCTGCAAATGAACAACCTTTGTGTGTTTATGGCCCCACTAACCATCATGTTAAACCTGTTGGATTGTAGCTGTTTCAAGCACTGTGCATCTTATGAAAAACCGGCAGATGTGGACACCACTAATGTTCAGACATGCGTAGACATCCAAGAGGAGTTTGTTAAACAGCCACTCATGAACGGAGAGGTAACTAATCCTTATAAACATGAGACTATTTGCTCAGTTTATTGTTAATAGTTTTTTCTCTGTAGTTGCTGCTGTTGCCTGCTGTAGTGGAGACTCTTCAGCTGAGCACAGAAAAGTTCACAAGGTTTTCAAACATCTACAGTCATGTGAATGTTTCCACTGAGCTGATGGACGAGGAGATTCCAGTCCTAGATGTGCTTCAAAAAGGTGACAAAGACCAAAATCGTTTAAGATGAAATAAAAAATACTTTTTTAAAAAACATTATTAAAAGATAAACTGATATATTTGACTTTTCTTCAGCTTCCCTTTCAAATCCTTCAGTGGATATTTCCAAGTTTGATGTACCAGATGAAGCCAGTGAAGAAACCAAGATGAATGGAGGCCTGATTGAGTCAGATTTTGCAGGTACAGAGAGCTTAGATAAAAACTGTAACTTGTTGGTTAAACTTTTCATCCAATAATAGAGAAATATACAGAGGCTACATCAGGCACACCATGTCTCTTCGATTGTTTGAGGTGTCTAATTCTCTTTCAATGTAAGTTTTAGTTTACTGTGTCTTTAAGGATGTGCGGTGCTTCCCACTGAAATGGAGCTGGAGTTGACTCTCAACCCGACTCCCCTGAAAAGTCAAACTGACATCTGTCTGTCCACCTCTGAGCTCAAGAAGGAAGAGATGTCTCCTTGTTGCAGAATGTGAGTAATGTCAGGTTGAGCTGCTAACTAAACAGTTCTGATAGGTTTTTTTGTTTGTTTGTTTATTTTCACTGATTTCACATTAACTGAAAAAGCATGATGCACACATAGAGATGTCATCTGTAAGTCATCTGGATTAACATTTATATTAAGATATAAATTCTTATAAACTGCTACAGCATGATGAGAAAATATGAGTGATTCCCATTTTATGGTAATTGGAGAAGCTTTTGAAACAATAATGATTTTCATCTAGATCTTTGGTGTCGCCGAGAGCTCAGAAAGAGATGAAGGCGGTACTTTGGAAGGCAGAGAAGCACCTGAACTTTGTGGTGGGCTTTCTGTTGTCAGGTAATTTTGTAATTAAAGGAAGACTCCACAAATTTTCCACATTAAATACTCAACACTGATCAACGGTGGAAAAGTGCCAAAGCCTCCACTGGGTCTTTAGAAACCGCTTTGTTCACTGTGACAGTTTTGCTAAAGTGACTTTGAGGGAATCAGCAGGGGGAACAAAAGCCATTAAGTTTAAATCATATGAGTACACATTTTGTTTTTATTATGCAAAATTTGGGGTGAATCTGCTGCAGCACTTCTGACTAAGAGGACTTTAAAACTCACTGAGGTGCTGCAGTGCTTTGGCATCAATAGTTAAAAGGCTGATGTTTTTGGAGACCACCAGATGTCACTGTGGCCCCAAAACATCTTGGTCTTCAACCACCCATCTACTTAAACATTTCTGATGGGTTTGCAGCTCTAAATGGAGTCTCAAATTGGATGTAGAGACTTAAAACGTAATGTATCACAATCTAGGGACAGGGGTTGACAAAATGTGACTGTTTACCATGCAGAGAAAGTCAATTCAAATGAATGTTGCTATCATGAAAACTCTGGGGTGCATGTTTTTGTGTCATGATTGGACTTAAAGTGAGATTTTTTTTGTTTTGTTTTGTTTTTTTGTTTCTAATCTATCACATTTACAGACGTACTGAACACAGAAATCTGTGAACTGTGTCACTAAATTGCTGTATTTCCTACAGAGCCTCAAATGTATGAACCAGCTGTTGACTTCCAGCCTCTGTGGGAAGCCTTAAAAGTTATCAAACTAGAGAAAGAAAGTTTCATAAGCGCTGCTGACAAACTGCAGTCCAAGATGGAGACGGAAGTCCCGCAGTTATCTTTGTGCTGCTACTGCGACTTCACAGAGAGTATGAAGTCTGATCTTCCCTCCATCAGAGAGGAAACTGGAGAAGACTTAAGTAAACTGCCACCTGAACATGTGGAGGGTGAGTGTTTTTGGTTTTTAGATGTGCATGAGTCCATGTGTAGCTGTATTAAACATATGTAGATAATTAATTACTAAGCTATCGGTTTACTGACACTTTTCCGCATCCATTTCTTGGAAGCAGCAGTCTGAGTAGAGATACCCAGACTTCACTCTCCCCAGCCACCTCCTCCATATCTTTCAAGGACACGCCAAAATGTTCCCATCTAGCTGAGAGACGTAATATCTCCACATGTACTGGGTCTGCTTGGGCATTTGCTTGCTAAACATGCCCGAAATATCTCCTCTAGGTGGTATCCTGAAAGGATTCTAAGCCAGAACCTCCTCTGCTTGCTCCTTTTGATGCAGAGCAGTAATCAGTCTCAGGTGGGGCTCAGACCCCTTTAGGAATTATCCACTCTGTGGTGGTTGGTGGTTTGCATGATAGTTTTTGTCCATCACTGTTTTTTGGCAGCTCACCTGCAGCTGGTTTAAATGCCGAAATGCCGGTCAAAACCAGGTTAAATTGTTTCAGGTGTTTGGGGTTTCTTTTAGTTGAAGTGCAACAATTATTTATATTAAGTATCATCAGATCTCGTCTATTTTCCTTCTATTCTGGTTTCAGTCGACTCCTTTCTATTGAGCACCACAGCTGAAACTTTTCTCCAAAAGAAACCCACTGATGATTCATCTCTGAATGCCTCCCAGATGCCTGCGTTCAACACAGTGAATAAAGATGTAAAACCAGCTCCTGACACCACCAAATATGATATTGGTGGCAAGAAGTTTTCAGAAGTTGCAAGCTGGTCTTCAGCTCATGAAAAAGGCATCAGCAGACAAGGACATGACTGTCAGATGGAGCTGAGTGCAAACATTTCTGAGGAGGCTGTCGCCTCCACACTGAATACTAGAGATGATGACAGAGGTTTGCTGTTGGCAAGAAATCCACCAGAGCTGGACCTTGACCCCCTGGCCACCTTCATGATGCTTAGGTCTCAGCAGATCGCTCCTGTTTCTGCATCACCTCAGAGCTCAGGCAGCACTGCAGGTACACTATGCTTACTATCTGTTCTTGCATAGTCTGAAGGTGATTTATGCTTTTGCAGCTTTATTTTCAAACATTGTTCTCTGAACTTAAGACCAGAATGTTTGTATCTATTATGTGAAAAATGTAAATGAAGTATTATAGTCAAAGTCTCCACAGGAAAACTGTGTGTAGCCACAGATCCCTACACTTCCCACAAAAGAAAACAAAACGCATGAATGCACTGTAAAGCTCTTAGATTCTTCATGTTAGATTCCTCAGTAATCATCATAATTTCTTCAGCTAATCTTTTAATCCCGATAAGTTTATAAACTTCTGCTCATCCAACTCACATAAAGAGGGCATTGTTTCTAAGAAGGCTCTAAAGCTCTCAGGTAAGCTGACTCAGGTAAGCTGATTTTTTTTTTTAATAGTTAAAAACCTTAACAGATCCAATAAATTTACCCTTGACCTGAACTTTCTTGCTATGACTCCAGATGCACGCCTGTAAAAACTAATGTAGCCTAATGAAAACATGTTTTACCTAAGCTCATCCTTTTATTTATCAGCACATGAGGTGAACCACCAAGCACTATTATCAGAGCTGCAGCCTTCTCCAGTGCAGAGTCAAACACTGGACGTGAGGCCAGGAAATTCAAACCGAGAGGAAGAACCTGCTAATCAGTGGATGGGTCAACTCAGTGGAAAATCACAGCAAAGACGGGACAGCCAAGTAGTTAAGATCAAACCTACAGGTGCGACACAAGTTATCAGAGTGAAGTAAAGTAACAAATATCCACATCTTACTTTCACATTTGAGTTTCAGTCAAGTAATTCCACACTTTTACAAATGTATCATTAGCAGCAATTATATGGAGACCTGAAAGCCAGGCGCCTCCATAATTTTTTCATAGGGGTGGCCCTATTGGGGCTACTAAAAATATTGGGGTCACAGACCAAAAACAGAATTTCCAATATAGGTTACTTGAAAAATATGACAAAAAGAGACAGGTCTTGACAGGAGGGACCATATGGGGGGCCAGCAAAGTTTGGGAGTCAGGCTGCTTGACTGCATGTCTCATTGACCAGACTGTAGTAGGGTCTGTTTGGAAAGCATGGTGGTTCAGATGGTGTTTTAAATTAGTGTTTTAAACCCTGTGCAGACAGCCAGCAGCGAGCCTACTGTGAGCTGCTGGCCTTCGCTCAGCCTTGTCTGAGCTCTGCCAGACAGCTGGGGCTCAACTTCCCAGGGTGTGGAGACTTCAGCAGCCTGGCACCAGACCAAACTCACTTCCTTCTCAAACAACAGGAGAGGGCACTCTGCAGGGCCCCTGCACAGACTGCAGAACTGATCAAAGGTAGGAAAGGCCATGTTAATGTTTTAATTTGCATGTTGTTGTATTAATGTATTAAACCTAGATTTGACAGAAGTAAATTATCTACTCCCTCTCCCACTGTGTTGCAGATCAGGAAGCGCTTTTCAACCTTGCAGCTCTGATTCATGTGCTGGTGACATTTAAGGAGCTGCTGCTGAAGTGCGACCTCAGTACGGGTTTGGGTGAGATGAACTACTGTCACACAAGCACCCAACCTTTAAAGTTTATTAAGTTAGTTCAAAATGCTGCAGTTGTAAAGGTGGGAAAAATCTAATTGTAATAAATTAAAAGTTCAAACAGTTAACTGAAAGTAAATTTTATAATTGTGCTATTTTTATTATAACGTAGTATGATATTGTTTTTACTTTCATATAAGTAACGACTTTGTCGAGCCAGTAGGAGAGAACCTGGGTAAGATACAGAAATATCCCCTGTAAATATTCTAAAACAGTACGATAGAAATTATGCAATCATGTGGGATCCCATCACTCAAAACTGGAAGCTGGAATTTCCAAAATCTTAACTTTAGTTTCAGTGTCTACACTGAGGTTTTAACCAAACAGATGCCATATTGTGAGATTTTTAACCTGGTGTTCTTGGACAACAGAGTACCTGACAAAGGCAGCTAAGGGATGTGCAGAGCAGAGTCTGCAGCAGCTGCTAAAGAGGCTGCACATCATCCTCTACCTCAGTCAGAAAAACCAGGAGTCCAGCCTCAAACTGCAGGAGCTCCAGCACCTGGTGGCTGAGTGGCTGAACAGCAGTAAAGGACAGAACAGCACAGATAAAGTCAGTATTGTGTAATCAATCATATACTTCTATAAGCTAAATATGATATTAGTTAAAGTCATAAATCCTTATGTGAAAAACACTTGATAAGAGTTGCTTATTTACCTTTGTGCAGATTCTTGTTATCGGCTCAGTTCACTGTGATAGCAGCAGATCAACAATAATCAACAGCTTGAACCAGGTGACAGGTAAGCAGCTCACTGATCATTTCAGTCATTTCAGTCAAAGGTTATTAAACTAAAAAATATTCAAAGAAAAATTAAATGCTGCAAAACATGCAGAAATAAGACAAACAGGTGACTGTCATTGTGTCATAGAGTTAATTATATTTGTGTTTTTTTGTTGTTGTTTGAGGCGCAACTGCAGTTTGTCCAGAGCAGGACAAGATAAAGCTCAATGGTGCAAGTGTAGTCAGCAGGTAAAAGTGTATCATAGTTCATTCATCTAGGCCTGTGTGATACATTGGTATATAGAGATATGAAGTCATATATAATTACATGATATTGTAGAGACACAATAAAGCTGTGCTTGAGGTCCCGTCCCCTGCTTTCCAAGTTATTTTTTTTAAATTAACATACATTCTTTATTTTATTTTATTGTTTCTGAAAGATTTGAAAAGCGTATTTTCAGTTTCAAATGGTAAATAATATCTATTTTATTATTTTATATTTTGGCAATAGCAAAATGTATACATCTCATAGCTATATTTTCAGATTAGGAGCCATTCATCACACTGTCTTGAGTATAAGTAAACACATTGTTGTCACACCTCTATCCTTTTTACAGCATGCATGATAGTGTGTGCGTGGTGGTGTATGAACAGGATATTGGCCCCGACTTCCCCTGGACCTGTTTCTCTCTAGTCGTGGAGTACGACCATCCGGGCCAGTCTCCATGGTCTGCAATCTGTAGGGAGAGGAGCATCAGCCACCTAACGTTCAACACCACCGTCTCTGATGCAGGTCAGCTGCCACCAAATTCCACGTATTCATATTATTGTTGATATGTTCGCTTAAATGCTTTTAAATGTGCTTGTTTCCCTAAAGAGAATATCTTGTGGTGCCTGGAGGACAACGTGCCGTATGTGTTGTTTGTGACGGAGGGACTTATGAACTATCCGCTGCTACTGCAAATGCTTGAGTCAGAGTGAGTTTTCCTCCTCATCCAGACAAGTAAAAACAACTGTGTTCAAGTATCGAGTATTATGACCAGCCTTTACATCAGAATAATTTTTAAATGTTTTACATCTGAGTAGCTGAGATGAAAAAATAGTAAAAAGAACTAACACCAGGTTACATATTACATAATCTAATATAAGAAGTTTTAATTTAAAGTTAAACAGAAAACTACAGCCAGATTTTAATAACAGTTAATGCAGAGTAGTATGTAAGCACGTGAATGAAAAAGGAACAGTGCATCATGGCAAAGCCCCATCAGCCTAAATCCATTGCAGGGTAATTAACCCTTTAAGACCTACCATAGAACCAAGTCCGCCAGAGCTTATCTTTATATTTTTACATGCAGTAGTGCCATTTTTGAGAGCATTTCAAGTTGCTATACATCAATACAACCGTTATAGCCCAAATTTTAATAACATGTATGCATTAAGTCCATAGTAACTACATAAATTGCAAAAAAAATGCAATAAACTACAAAAAATTGAAAATTGTTTTTGGTTTTTTACATATATTTCTAGTTAAAGAAATTTAAGAGGTTTATCCCTCACAACTGTAAATACAAAAAAGTTGCACAAAATAGTTTCCAACAACAGGAAATTAAATTCATAGTCATAGTCAGTTTTTATATACTGCAGGAAAAATGAAAATAAATATTATAATCCAAATTTTCAAAAAAACAGCATGTGCATCAAAATAAACTATTTCCAGCAGTGCAATTTGAGTTCTAAGAAACTATTCAGAAAAGCATAAAGTCAAACATGACTTTTAAAAACACCAGTATAGGCTTATAAGGCCCTGAAGGTAAAAAACTAAATTTTCCGCAAAAATGACGTCACTTCTGGTTTCGGGCAGGTAATGGCGGACATGCGATAGTTCACGCTGACGTCTATTCCAACATAGGAAGTGTTATTAACAGCTGATCGGATTGGCAAAGCGTGTTTCTGGAATATTATGTTTTTGTTGCTACAAGTGCTTTTTATGCAATTTTTGCAAAGCTATATGTGGAAGGAAACCATGACCCAGGGCAAGCTGATGGCATAAGATGTAAGTACAACTCCTCCGGTTTCATATGCAAAAAAAATTATTGCGGTAGCTTACGTGGTTCCGGTTCTACAGGGATTTAAAAATAGTTAAGCAAAACGGAGCGTGCCTGCTCCAACTGGTTTTAAAGGGTTAAAGGAGGACTCATAGTCACCTGATCAAGCCTATAACTATATGCTTTAAGCCTAATCTTGAAAGTAGAAGCTGGCCCCACAGAAAAATGAAGACTCTGCCTCCAATTGTACTTTTAAATATCCTTGTAAGCCTTGTAAGTAAGCCTGCAGTCTGAGTGCTGTTGTAGTCATCACAGAGTTTACTCATATCATGGATGGAGGAAACTTATTTTCTAGTTCTGCTGTATCACTTTTGACATTTTAACAGATAATTATAACTCTGACAGCTAAAAATCAATCAATCAATATGCTGCCTCTGCCTTGGACTTTCCTGACCTTCAGACAGCAAAGGCTTTTTTTTTTTTTTTTTTTTTTTTTTTCTTTTTTTTTTTTTTAGCTTTTTTACCTGACCTCCCAGTCCTGACGAGCACTGTTTGATCATTTGGTGAAACATGTCTGTCACAGGTTTAATGTAATGGTGCTGGAGAGGAGCCACTGTCCCTCCCTGAAGAGGCTCGGAGGGATCCACAATTACACTCTCATCACAGTGGATGAAAGCACCGCCATCGTCATTCAGGTATCAGGAAACACATAAACGCTTCATCTTTGTGAGGAAACTTCACGTAATACGGTGGTAGCTGTAAATTTTAAAGCACATCTAATAACAGTAGACTCCACAAATGTGGGAAAGGAAACATTTTTCTTTACACATCTCAGGCTCTTCGTGGTTTGTAAATGTCTGTGATAAAATAAAAATCCGATGTCTGACAGTGTTTTTAAGGGAACTGGTAACATGTGTTTCACTTAGGTATGGAAGCTTTTTTCTAATGCTGAAAAAAAATGTACATGGAATTTAAACTGGTAAGTTATTGTGATGACATTTTTGAGATACTTAACTCAAAAGTTTGAGTTTTTAAGTTGAAATTTCAACATGCATAACTCAAATTTTTGACTTACAGACAAAATCAGTGATAAAAGTGTGCTTCCATACTTAGTTTTATGGTTTCAGCTTTTTAAACATCTTGGTTTTAGCCAATTTGTTTTAGATCCCACTCTCACCACTTGACGACCATCTTGATACACTTCTGGGCAGTTATTTTGAAGCATTATGTAACTTTCATTTCAGTCCAATCAGTCCTCATAAAGATAATATACACAGTTAGACTTGTTATGGGGGCGGATTTCCTCTGCGTTTAGTCCCAATGCTCTAATGAGTCTCTTAAGTGGAAATGCTGACCAATAAACTCTGCAACTACTTAAAGAAAAACACACATACTTTTGCTGACTGTGTGTGTGTGTGTGTGTGTGTTTGTGTAGGAGCAGGATGAACTATGTCAAGAGCGAGCCAGTGAGGGAGTGGTGATGAGGCTGACTGCTCTCTCTCTTCAGTACAGCTGCTGCTGGCTCATCCTTCATTGTCCAGAAGGTCAGGGAGGAAGGTGGGTGTCCACATATACTTAACCCTACACCCTCACTTGGAGAGTGTATTTAACTTTGAACCAAGTATTGACCCTAAAACCTGATGATTTTGTCTTCCAAAAGGGTCCTTATTTATCTCCCCTAAACAGTAGTAGTATATGAGAAGGCTTGATTTTGTGTGTGTGCAGATTTTCCAGTGAGGCCTTCAGCAACTTGGTGCTAGTCTATTCATCTCTGGTGCTATTGAGAATGAAGTCTGAGGATTTGGATGTGAAGGTAGAACATAAGTGGTGCCCCTCTCTGTAACAGATCATTATTATCATTATCATCTTCATTCAAGTCAAATTAATATCCTTTCAGGATATTGAAGACATTTCACCAATATTTTAAACAAAAAGACCAAAAGTAATAAAAAAGAATAAACAACAGTAGGATACAGGCATTTCTGTACATCGTCTTGCAGGTGCTGTTAGTGTCAGATGTATTGGAAATGGCAAAGTCCATCAGTCAGATCTGCTTCCACAGCCTGATGTCCAGTGACAGAGACCCTGTCAGCTTCTTGAACAGAGACTGGCTGACTGTGATGCCCTCACAGGTGAAACTCATATCCCCAAATTAAAGCTATTCATACAGAAAGGTCTAGAATAAATTGCACTGTTTTCAGTGATGAATTAAAGCAGTGTTTTGACTCTATTCTTATGTGGATACATTTTTTTCTATGGTTAATTATAAGCTGGTCCAGTTGTAATCAAGCATACAGTTAGAAAATACAGGTTCTGTGTAGATTTATTTTTGTATTTCTGTAGTCACATTGCAGAAAACAGTGGTTGGAGACCAAGATATTTTATTATTAGCTGTGATAATTAATACTGATAAATCAGGGGAAAATGCCATCTACATAGACAGAAATTCACAGTAAACAGAATGTTTTTTCATTAACTACTTATACTGAGAGACCAGTCAGGACCTCATAGGTTTGAAACAGAAATTATTCCATAAATGGTTGTGAAGTTTCAAAGAGACAAAAACTAAATGCACCTTTTACAACTGTCTTATGTCTGCTGTGTGATTTTATTTTTTTATTTTTTTATGAATCAAAATCTATTACATGTCTTGTCATTGATTTCATTTCTTTTTTTTCCCATTTGCTTCCTCCAGGAAGAAGAATGTTTGTCACAGTTCCCTTGCATTAACCCCCTGGTTGGACAGCTGATGCTGAGCAGAGTGCCATCCTTTGAGTGGCTCCTGGGGGCCTCATTGTGTCAGCTGAAGGAGCTGCTTCCTGAGGTGCCACATAAAGTGCTAAAGGTGATCATGTGCTGTAAATATGTTTGTATTTGGAACACTTGTTTTACAAAAGCTTATTACTTTATACAGAAGTACAAATTACAAATAAAAATAAACAGAGTTCCGGGCGCCGGTTTAGCTCAATGCGTTGAGCAGGTGACCATATGCCATACAGCTAAGAGCAGCCGGCCCGGGTTTGAGTCCGACCCGCGGCCCTTTGCCGCATGTCTTCCCCTCTCTCTGCCCCCGCTTTCCTGTCCTTTCTTCACTGTGTCTATCAAATAAAGCTGAAAAAGTCCCCAAAATATTTAGAAAATAAATGCATTAAAAAACTGAGTTGTTAAGAAATTAAATTTGATTTTTTTTCCCTCCTTCTCTTCCGAGTTTAGCTCTTCAGTGACACGACCTCCCTGTATCCACTGGCAGCAGATCCAAAAGACCGTCAAACTTTGACCACTGAGACAAACCAACAAAGCAGCCCACAGACTCACACTGGGGATTATGAATGCATGAAGTCCCCCCATCCAGACCTTCTCTGTAGCAACCAGAACACCAGCTTCCTGTTCGAGAGTCCACAGGAGAGCTTCTACCCAATATTCGAGGATGGCAACTCAGATTTCAAACTTGACCTGAGTGATACTTTTGGCAGTTCAGATGTTTGTTTCCAGGGAAGCTGGAACATCAATGATCCATGGAGAGAGGATGGGAAGATCTCTGGCTGGAGGAGCATAGCTGGAGCAGTGGGGAGGGTTGTTGAAAGATCAGTCAATGAGTGGACACGCAAGACTCCGCTAAACGATTACACCACTTCTTCACACCCTGCTGACAGCCCACTCAAACTGGACTCTACCTTCAGTTACAGTACCAACCTGCAGCAGCCAGCCAGCCCCCAAACGTCCACATACCCTACACTCTACAAGGACTTTAATCCTCCCAGTCAGCACATCACCTACAGTCTTAGCACACCTACAGGTATCCTGTGGGGTCATGATCACGTTGGGGGAGGGATGACATCACTTTCAGCCAACTATGGCTCCAGATGCTGGGCAGGACAGGAGAGGAAGAGGAACAGAGAGGCTGCAGGCTTGATTGGATCAGGTGAAAAATAGAAATAGAAGCTGTTCAGGTCTCTAGCACAATACTAGCTGTTGACACAACCTTTGATTCTATACTTACATTGCCATGGTTAGTTTTTGTGGAAGATGTCTATGTCTGTAAATACTCATCAAAATCTCTCTGAGCAGCAGTAAAACTGAAAAGTGCAACACGAGCCGCAAATGGAGACCATTTGCCTTCAGAGTAAAAGTTGTTTCAAAAAGGTGGAGCTTTTACTTTGAAAGTGAATGTAGTTTGTATAGTTGACCATTCACAAGTTTACAATGGCAGGAAAATGCAACAAAGTATAAAGTACATTGTGCATTCTACACCATGGTCCTCAAACTTGCACAGAGAACAAACAACTTTTATTGTCTGGCATACTAACCTGAATTTTATGCTGGTGATGTGAGCTGAGTCACTTTTACTTCAAGAGTCAATAGTTTCCAAGCCTGAAGACAGCACATCAGGTGAGGAGCAAGACGAGGAGCATGCTCAGAATCTCTTTTTTTAACCTTTTTTGTTGTTGTTGCTTTACAACTAAAGCAACAACAAAAAAAGTCCACTATATACAGAAAAACAAGACCCCTCTAAATCATGACAAACTATGGCAACGTTCATAATGCCGTGCTACTCCCGGTGAGACTGTCAGCGTGGAGTTGTGCTGTGACATCCCCAAGTCTCTGAGAATAAACATTCAGCAATTTTAACTTTCTCGATTTTCCTCCCAGGTCCTTTATGTACATCTTATAATTAAAAATTTAGTTGACTAGTCACACGAGAACCAGCAAACAAGTATAAGTGCGCATAACAAGAGTTGTGTTGGGTGATCTAATTTATAGATCCCATGTTCAGAGCTGCACGAGAAAATGATCCTGAACAGAGTTTGTGGTTGGAAATGCACATTATAGTCTCCTTTTTCTTATTTTGCAGGTAAACGTTTAGGTGCTAACATAGCCCATTTGTTCTTACTTTATTTTTTTGTTGTTGTTTTTTTTACATTTGCAGTGTTGTCACCATCGAAGAAGGGAAGGCTGAGCTATGAGAGGGTGCCCGGCAGAGGTGATGGACAGACGAGGCTTAAATTGTTTTAGAAAAGAATGGGAGAAGGAATAAAAAATATTAAAATGCATTAAAACATTAAAAGTTCAGTCATGGCATAGTTTGCGGTGGGGTTTTTTTTTTCTTCTCAGATTACATTTTTAGTTTTTCACCTAAAAGTCTACATTTTAAATGTTTATAAGCAATTGTGATTTTCTGAATTCCTTTTTTGTCACCAAAAATACTGTTAATGTTTAAAAAAGGAGGAACAGTTAATTTTATTAAAGTTCAAAGCAATATCATATGATTTTTGTATTATTTCAATCTAAACTATTGTTTATTGTATAAATTTGTTTTGCACTTTTTCATGTTATAGTATTAGCTATTTTAAGCTGTTTTACAGGGCACACTGCTCCTTTTCTATTTATAATTATCTCTTTGTAATTTATCAAAATTCAAAATTTGTTTGATGATTTTTTTGTAAGTGTCCCTGAAGTTTCCCAGGCTGGTATAGAAACAGACAATGATTAGTACTAATAACATGGTAGCATTTTAAATTGATTAACGCCTTCAATCTGCTTACAACTACATTATAATGTGTTATAAATGATTATATGTTTAAATACTGCTAAGTAACAAGGAGAAGGTGTTGGCAGGTTCTTCTTACAAAACAAGATTAAGCATAATTATAATTATCTGCACATGTTTGCTGTGCCCCCTCCCCATACTGAGCATGCTCAATTGAGGAAAAACAAATTGTGATTTATGGCTGGAGGAATGGGATGGAGGGTGTTTCCCAGTTAACCTGATAAAGTCTCTTTTTAGCAGCTCCAATGGCGGGGCTTCTTTTTTTATATATATAATTTAGTGAAGCAATCCCCTTATCGTGCTCTCTCAGCATGTGGAGAGAGTGCTTATCTTCACGAGCCAGCAGAGTGAAGCCAGCTCCCTCAGGAATGATCCCCAGACAAAGACGACCCCAGGGACATCGACTCCAAGCCTCCCTGCCTCTGGACAGCCATATCAAGCACTGACTACCACCATCAATAACCCACCACTTTCTTTTTTTTTTTTTAATGTATCCCTCTCTCTACGTGTCCGTCTCCCTGGCTGCTGCCTGCTTAGAAGCAGTGGACAAACAAAGAGAGAAATGGTTTGTTTTTTTAATGGCACAGGAACAAAAGCAGTCAGCAGGGTGGTCAAAGGAGTCCCCCTATGAAGACGAGGCAAACAGTAGCCTAATGGTGCAGTAATGGTCCCTGACTACACTGGAGCCCTGCACTGAATGGGACAGGAGATATATTGTGGGAAGGAGCAGGCTGTTTAAACCAAAGCATCCTTTAGTCTGGCTCCTATTTTGGCTTCAGCTGTAAAGGTCACACTGTTATCTCTAATCACAGCCTGCAATTAAGAGTCACCTGTGAGTTTTCTGTTTTAAAGAAGAGATGAAGCCCCAGCAGAAGCACCTTTATAGTTGGATAGTGATTACAGATAAGGTGGGGGGGGGGGGGCTTTTGGGCACAAAAAGCAGCACCTCAAAATGCTGAGTAAAAGGAAAATGACACAAGCGCCATGAAACAAATCAACAAATAATGATTCGCATGGTAAGAATAAAATTTTCTGAAGTATAAGTAATGTGTTGGTATTTGATAATCCAAATGTAGATTTATCTTGTAGTTTATCACATGGTCCTAGTTTTAATATATAAGGTTTATTACCATTTTCATTATATTCTGGGATTCCTGTTCTTAAAAAAAAAAACAAAAAACAACACAATCTAAAAAGCTGGTGCTGAGTTTTGCACAGGGTTCTTATAACATTATTTTTTAAGGCAAATACATTTGAAAATCAAGTGAATTTAAGATTAGGATTTTTTTTTTTTTTTAAACTGCCTCCGGGAAACAGTTCGTGTAATAATAACTAGTCAGTCAGTGATCATCAAGATAACAATTTAGTCATGTGTCAGTTCAAGTCAAGTCACACTTTGACAAACCTTGAATCATTGACTTAGCAATCCACTGCACACATGGTGTCACAGTTGTGCTAAAATTATAATTGTATGAGATAACATTGTATGAATGTCCATCTGTACAAAATGTGGTTCCAGTCCTTCAGTTTTCAGGGTGTTGTCCCACAAAAATGGACCTTTCCAGGTAGAATGGGTTGCTTTAGTTGATAAAAAATGATAAAGTTTACCACTAATATGCCTCCTGATGATTAACAAAAATGTATTTAAGGCTAAGCAAAACTAAGCCCCAATCAACAAGGCTACTTAAAGTTTGCTTTGTTTTACATTTCTGATGAAAACCCCTCACATGGTACCAACTGTTGAAATGAGATGGTGCTCAGGTAAAATTAAAAGGAACAGTGCATCAACTTGCAAGGGACAAACTCCAAAAATAAAACGCCTGATTATGTGGTTTTTGTCAGCTGTTTGAACGACGGCATCAGCAGGACGTATTACGTTATATATACTAGTATACATGTAGTTAAAAATGGTAAGTATCCAAACAGCTCAGACTTAATTTACTGTAATTTCTCCGAACTTTGGCAGTGTTGTAACAGTGTAGGAAGAAGTAATGCAATTTGGTCTACTCCTAAAAAAAGATCCAGTGTTTGGGGTCCTTAGGGAGTAGTGAGACGCTATACAAATACAGGTCATTTACCATTTACAACATTTGTTTTTATATGAATTCTGCAGTGACTTCTGGCTTAGATTTTCTCTGCAGAACCCCCTGAAAAAACACAAGATGCTGCTTCATTCAGTTGAATTTATTTTACGAGTTTGCCCTCATTCTGCTCCCAGATGATGATGATTTACAGCAGGTACACTCCGCCATCAAACCACCACACAGAGAAGTGAGTCTGCAGACCTTGAGTGGAGGCTGGACGGAGGCAGCGAGCAGCGGCGCCTGGCCTGCAGGTGCAGCCTCTTGGACGTGCAGCGGGGTCTCATGAATGCCCGATTCAGAAAACGGCCCCCATCGGGCCTGTTCTCCAGGCCCGGGGCTAATCCCGACCCCTAATCGGATTATGTAAATTCCTACTCCACACAGAGACTTTTATGGAAGGCTGCGTCTTTGAAACAACACTTGAAGGGTGTAAAAAGAACAGTGACAATTGGTTAAACTAGATGTGTTTTTCTGTCTGAACGAAGGTTGAAAGTGGGAGGCAGAGGTAGGGGGTGAGATGGGGGAGTGAGGAGTGGCTGCAGAGAGGTGAGTTAGACGCTGTGCTCTCCGTGTTTCCTCTCTAATTTATGTGTGGCCCCTTGGAATGGCTCAACAAGATTACCGTAGTCATAACAAAACCCATATTGTCCGACTGTCAATCTGGATATGGTATTTTTACCTTTTGTGGCCCAATCAGGCCGGATTCAAAGCAGAGCAGCCACTGATATCAAGGTCTTTTCCTCGGTGAAGGGGACGGTGGGTTGTCCATGCCTAATGTCAGAGAAGCAGAAAGGAATAAGTGTCCACAGCAGTAAGAGAAGGATCAGAGAGATGAACGTCTCAGTTTCACTTCAATAGGAATTTATTTGTCACCTTTAGCGCTAACCTTCAAGGATTAAATGAGCAATGAATCATAAAAGCAGCACAAATAGTCATTTAAAGAGCTGTTAAATCATAAAAGCGGCAGAAAGGCCCCCACAAAAAAAGACAAATCATTTAAACACAGCAGCATCATAAACACACACACACACTTGTTCCAAGTGACAGAAAAAGGAGGAGTTACGTGTTTTAACAATCACACCAACCTCACACAATGCACGCAGCGGCTCCACGACAGCACACGTCAGACAATGGAGCTTGCGCTGCTATAAAAATGTGGGATGCGAGCACTCGGCACTCTCATCCCTCCCTCCTTCTCTGTGGCTCTCCCCTCTCCTCACTTGGAGCTCAGTGAGCATGAGGAGACGCGTCTAAGTGGACCTTCACACTGGTCTCCAGGACACGTCAATGACAAAGGAACCTCTGCCTCTGAGATTTCTGCACATTTCCCACACACAGGTACAGGTGAGACATTTACTTCATTCTCTAGGATTTTCCCTCCTCCGAGGCAATATTTCCAATTATAGTAGCATAGTAGATGTTTAATGTGCTGTAATTTATAGTTGATAGCTGCAGATATTTGTTATCAAAATATTAAGTGCAAAAGAAGTTTAATAAATAGATTCTAATGTAGCTTAAAATACCATCCGTTAATGATTTAAAGGCTTCATCACTTGCAAATGGTAAACACTGCAGAAGAACTTGATGTGTCACTTGTGCCAGCCAAAAAAACTCTTGAATATGCCTTTAAATATGAAGAAAAGCACAAAGGCTGCGTATTGCAGAAATAGGTAGCAAATGAATCAATTATGATAAATGCTTTTGGGGGGTTTAAAACAGTTTGCAATTTCACCATGCTCCTGGTGCCTCCACCTTCCTCCTATCACACCCCAGCGCTGATGATTTCTTTCTTTATTTTAAAGCTTTTTTCTGTTTTGCATTGAGTTTGGAATCAAAAACTCAAAATAAACACAAATTACTCTCATATCTTGTATTAAGTGGCCTAACATTGTGTCACTTGTTGCAGCTGAGCTCAGCACCATGACCAGAAAGGTGTTCACCAACACGAGGGAGCGTTGGCGCCAGCACAACGTCAACACTGCCTTTGCCGAGCTCCGCAAGCTCATCCCCACCCATCCTCCGGAGAAGAAGCTGAGCAAGAACGAGATCCTGCGCCTGGCCATGCGCTACATCAACTTCCTAGTCCAGCTGCTGGAGAGCCAGAGCGGCCAGCCGGCCGGCCACTCCCCCACCGCCCTGCTCACCTTTCTCAGAGGCAACATGGAGCAGCTGCACTCCCCTCCTCACCCCTGGGCCCTGACCAGTGACACGGAGGCTCCGTCGCCCGGATCCAGCTGTGACAGCTCTGAGGCCTGGTAGAGCCACAGCTCATCTAACAGAAGCAACTCTGGAGTGAACTTTTGGACCCTTTCTTTCTTCCCCGGGGTTTCTGCTCTGATCTGGTCCTCTGTAAAGACTGTTGTGTGTCTGCCTTCAGGGCAGAGTGTGTGATAGTCAAACGTGGCTGAAAAGTGAGCACCGTCTCTGTGTTGAAGTTATGAAATATAATTTGCAGGTGAAATTGATTTGTGTTCTGCATGGGTGTGTAAAAACCTGGATGTACTATTCCTCTCGTGTCTTTATGTTAATATTCCTTGTTGCCGGCCCGCCTTGAACTAATTTAGTTTTGCAGTATCGGGGTGTTTTGCCAACGAGGAAAAATGGAAGGGATTAAGGAAT